TTATAATTTTTCAATTAGTATACCTCACTCATCTAAATTTATTTTGGTGATATTGCGTTGTCTTGCAATATGTTTATCCAAACAAATAATCCTCAGCATTATTTTCAAAGTTGTAGGTTAGTTGCTTTGGAGATAAAAAATTTAACGTAAAAGACCAAAAAATGTAAACTACAAGGGAAAAGTAAATGATTTGGGCACGGTTAAAACTGAAAATCGCACACATCTCCACTTTCGGTTAGGCACACATACTAAAAACGATATTTTCGGTATATTGTACATTGCCAGATCATGCAATTTTTTTATGGGCAGTGTGCCAAAACTGATGAAAACAACGTATACGCATTAATTTGCATCTCTCTCTTGAACATATCGGTATTTAGAATTTATTTACTATACATCTATATTGCCCGCTTTCGTGCCTTTTACTGGGCATTGCTGACCACAAACTTATCCTTAATGCCAATTACTTTGCGAAGTAAATAATATTATGTTGATTTTTTTACAAAAAACATTTTTAATAAAACTATCAGCTCATAAGGTGTAATCCAAGCAACAGCTGAGAGAGGTTTATGGAAAATTGTCAGGTTGCTCTGGGATTGATTACCATTCAAGATGGCCGAAGTGAGCGTAAAATAAATTCATTTTATTATTTTCTGCAAAATTATGGAAATGTCGCTCCAAAAATATTGGTTATATGTAAAACTTTAAAATCTTTCACAAAATCAGTTTATTTTAAAAAAGATTCGTAAAGGAGCGGGTATTACTTGCAAATATAAGAATAATTAAATTTTATATTTAAATAGTGTGCCAAATGGTAGAAAATTTAAAATTATGACAGAAGAAAGTGACATTTTTACATTTTTTGTGGTGAATCCGAACGTCAAAAGAGCTATGTTATAAAATATTCATATACAAAATTTATTATTTCAATAAGGACAGTTCTTGACTACTCCTGAGTTTCTTATTATTTAGCGAAATGTTGCAAACTAAAATTGAGATGATGGAATTAAGTAAAAATAATACTTTTGTAGTTGATTAACCGACTTTAATGTAAATCTATTTATATATCATGATATAAGTATGTGTAGTAATATCCTAGCAAGTTGCCTAAGCTTTTCGATTAATAACAAAACTTTAAATTAATGCATTTTTTTCAATATCAATAATATTGTAACTAGCAAGTATAAGCAAGGTATTTTTTATATATAACCTTTTTTCATTTTACGAATATATTTAATATTTTAAATACTAAGGCCAACGTAATTGCGTTTGTTTTGTAATTCAAGTGTGAACATATTATTTACCATGTGGCACAGAAGAATGTACAATTTTTTCAGTTTAACTCAGCACAGAGAAAAATGTTACCGTTTGATACACAGCCTTATACCTCTATTTAATAGTGGTAAATTAATAAATATTCACCACAGAAAAATGTTAGGTGCAAATAAGCAACTACGTCAGATAACGGGATCCAGAAAATGCATATTCAACGAAACTGAATACAAGTTTTAAAAATTTTCGAAATTTTATTTTTTAAAATATATGACTAATCTCGAGTAATTTTGGTAATAAAATGGCTCTATTACACAATCATCATCTGCATTGAACATCCTCAAAGTCAGAATGGAAATTGTTTAAATGAGCTAAGCTTCAGTACATATGCACTATACATATACGCCCACCTAAGCCTGGGTACCCATACACACTACTCTACCCCGAAGAACTGGCACACCTTAATAAAACACCCCTCACCTGAGAACACTAACAGAATTACACCGTGCATGAAGACATCCCACATGAGGACATCACACCTATCTTCACCACAATATGGACGCGTCAACTGATAAAAAGGGATTGGATCACCGATTCACCTCATTCCATTATATACGTCAGTCAACACGAAAGAACATGTCGTCATACGCACATTAACAATGACTTATATGATTATGATGACGGTTGTAATGAACTGGAAACATCATCTTACTTGAATGGTATTTTTAACCGTTATTAGATTAGATTTCGCCAAAGAGCGTGAAATCGGAAATGAGTTAATCTCATGTCTTCAAGACGTACAAAACAAGCAATTAACTCTGTAACAGAACCTAATCGTTGTGAATACAACTACATATGTATATAAAACACCACCCTACAAACTGCTAATGCCTTCATGAATACACTCACATTTATTATGTTAGTACTGACAGTCAAATAAACAGTAAAACGACTGTCAATGTTTACGATTTTTCCAAATTCAAATGCAAATTCTGTATACGTCGAAAAAAGACAGCATACATTTCCATAGAAGTTTCGAGAAGTTGTGAAATACCTATGTAGCTGTTATTTTGTGCGATAAACCAAAAGAGTTGCGTGCTCCTGTGCAATAACAAATATTGTTTTATTAAAAATAAGTTTTTAAATATAATATACGTAAGTTACTAATAAGTTAAAATTAAAATTATATTTTTAGTTAATTTTAATTTTTATTCCGAAATATTCAGGAACTGGAAAACACGTTCAGCAGAGCTTTTGAGAGGAAACATGGAATTAAGTGAAAATTTCTTTTCATAATATATTATTTAATTATATTTTTTTACACTCTTATTTTATATTTATGTATATTATTATAACTAATTTAAATTAAAAGTTTTGAATTTATTAAAAATATAAAAGTTATATTATCTACTGCGCAAAAGAATTTTACACTTGTGATAGATTTACAGTCATAACTGTATACGTTTCAGTCATAACTGACAATTTTCAGCTATGATGGATTTATGGTCAGCAATGACTCAGAAAAAGAAATGAGAGTGAGCAGTATAGATATAAAGTGAATCAATTCCGAATACCCATGTGTTAAAGAAAGATGCAAACTCATACACATACGTTTGTTTACATCAGTTTTTGCACAAGGCTCTTAAGAAAATGATAGAAACTTTGTTCTGCGCGCTGATAAAATTCTTTCAGCTGTGACTGTCATATTAACGGTCAGATAATTGTCACTGTTCTTGTAGGGCAGCTGCTTTTGATGGTGTAAGTTGAATTTAACACAACTAAAAAGATATACAAGTGCCTTCATTCGTAATGTGAATAAACTTCCAGTAGATATTTATCCTGCAGTATGTGTAGGTATAATAGTAAGAAATTTTTTTGTACACTTTTTATATAATGTATCGGGTCCAATCATAGTAAAAATAAATTTCCGGTTTGTCCATGAAAGTTACATTAAATGGTTCAAAAATATACCCCATACTTATATCTATCAAGATGGTATAATTTAATAATTAGTTAATAGCGTCAAGTATAAGTTTATTTGATTCACCAGTTTTTTTTTGAAACATTCGCTTTTGAAACGAGGTTGGAAACTTCCCCACTCGAACCTTCTGGAAAAAACGAATTTCGCAGTATGGTTAATTTTGGTAATTTATCGTCGATCCGATTACGTTATCGCATCCGTGTTCTAGAGCTGTCAAGCACTGGAATGACACCTTTGCACTAAAAGAAATGCTAAGCAGATCATAATTATTGATATGAATTTCATTATGCGAATTTTTTTGAATGCATGCAAAACTGATAAGACTCTTATTAAGTTATGTTAATTAACAATTTTATTTAGTTTTTACATAATATGAATTTCTAAAAAATAGTGTGTATTATAATTGTTACTAATAAAGATTACATTTTTTACAACATATATGTACATATTTTATCATATTAATCTTATATAGTCATATGTATATCTACACATGCGCATATGAATTTACGCATTCAGAAATTTAAATCATAATTTTATCACTTATCAATACTCTATATGTGCGCGCATTGATTGATATGTACACCCATATATGTACATATATATGACATTGCCGAACAAATAATGCATACCCGTAAAAACTACAAACATTTTTCTACAAAAACAACAATCATCATAAGTCAATATGTCAGCCAAACAGCCGAAGCCCAAATATATAGTAAATCCCTCAACAACAACATTTTCATTTATCACTTCATTCCTAAAAACAGATACTCCAACATCTCCCCGAGAATGCGTTTTCGTACAAGCGTCTTTTCGCGACGATGGCAAAAGCTAAAAATCATAAATTGAGCAACTTTCTGATGTTCTTTCTAGAACGGAAAAGTGACAACCCCGCAAAACATAGAAAAAAGGGACAAAAGTGGCAACAAAGCTTTTGTCGATTTAAAATATTTTCCAATTTTAAAATATTTTTCAGTTGCGTACAAAAATCTGCGTCAATATGTATGCATGCCCATATATAAACATACACATTTACAATGATTTGTAGGCAAAGCTGTTAGAGCGGCAAGGGAAGCGGAGACAATCGGCGGCCGTTCGTTATTTTTTTTCGGCACTGCTTGGATTTTGTACCAACAACACAATGTTGTGGCGCTTTGTCGTAGGTTGTTCGCAGTTTCGGATCCACGGAGGGAATAAATGATACTTCGGTAATAATAACATATTGACGAAAAACTTATATAGTATATATATATATAGATTGATTCACAGAGTCCGCTACAAACATAAAATCAGAGCGCGGAAAATAATTCTAATTCAATTTCAGAAGAATATACGAAGTAATATCAATACAGTGGACCCCCGGTAGTCCGACAATCATTTTGCAGGGCAGTGTCGAACTATCGAATTTGTCCGATTTTTTTTATAAAAGAGTACCTTGTAATCCGACAAATTATAAATCCAATGATGGTTCTTTATAATAAATACATATATGTAATGTACTCTGAAGTACAAATCATACATACTTCATTATGTACATTATGTCAAATTTAGTAAATTAAACAGCACAATAGAGAGCTTACGTTTTATTATAAAATTAGCGTCATTAATGCTATAAAACGTACAAAAAATATGCAATAACTTTACGTTAGGAAATAATGTTGTACAAACAAATGTACATACATACTAAAATAATCAAAAACTATGAATCAACTACATTTATGTATGTAATTTAAGAAGCATGCAAATATTAATCAATTTTTTTTTGTTTCACATTGTTGAAACGCGAGAATAAAGCTTTGTCTCTCAGTCTTCTCAAAAGTAGAAGTTCGTTGTAGGATGCACCATTTTCTTCAGCCCATTGCAAACCCAGCTCAAAGGCATTCATTGCATCTTGTGCTTTCACTGGCGGAGTAGTTGTAATTACTTCGTCATCATCTTCCTGATTTATTGGTGTAGAAATCTCTTTTATAATCTCTTCGTCAGACATTTCATAAAAAATATTTTTCTCTTTATCCATTCCACGGCACCAGGTTTCCAAATTTTCCGGACTTATTTGGGTTTCAGCAGCAATTTGCTCTATTAATTCCGTAGGTACACTGATTTGTGGATCGTTGGTAGGATTGGCGACTATATCTGGCCATAACTTTTTCCAAGACGATGTAATAGTTGATGAAGGTAATGCATTCCACTATTGACCAAGAGCAAAAACCAAGTCTTTCATGTTAAACTCTTTTAACGTTTTTTCTATTGGCTGGTCTTTTGATACGGCTTTTAGAAGTAGGGTTTTCTTATAATCTTGCTTTACAAACTGAATTATGTGCTGATCCATGGGTTGAATCAGTGCAGTGCAGTTTGGCGGAAGAAACATCGCAGTGATGCATTTATCATTAGTTGTCAGTTCTTCTTCAGACGGATGGCCGGGAGCGTTATCAAGAAGCAATAACGCTTTTTGAGAAAAATTATGATCTTTCAACCATTTTGTAACTTCTGGTACGAAACATTCATCGAACCACTTTTTGAAAAGATCTTTTGTAATCCACGCACTTTTTTGTCCATAATAGTGTACAGGTAAATCAATGTTTTTGAATGCACGTGGTTTATTAGATTTTCCAACTACCACCATCTTTACTTACTTACGTTCTTTACTTACTTTTCGTCCAGGTACGGATTTTTCAGTATAGGAAACAAAAGTTTTATTAGGTCACAAACGCCAAAAAAGCCCTGATTCGTCTGCATTTTACACCTGTGGCGGGTTAAGATTTAAATCTTTCACCTTTTGCAAAAATCTTAATTTAAATGGCTCTATGCAGGTGGCATCATTAGAAAGTTTCTCTCCTGTTATGGTAATTAAACGTATGCCATGTCGACTTTTAAAACGTTCTAGCCATCCCTTACTAGCCACAAAATTATCTTTTTTTGTTATTTTTTTATAAAAATATTTAGCTTTCATTGCCAACATGGATCCCGATATGGGCGCATGCCTATTTCTTTCCTGAAGAAACCACATGCATAAAGCTTCTTCCACTTCTGGATGTTCAGCTTTCTTGAGTGTCTGTCTCTTGCCTGGCCCACAGTCAGTAGTTGACACAAACTGTTTAATCTTCTCGTGGTTTTTTTTAATGTCATAAATTGTAGATCGGCCTACCCCGTATTCACTTGCTAAACTACTGAAAGATTCATTACGATTTAGGCGGTCTAAAATATCACATTTTTCTTTAATTGTCAGTGTTTTGTGCTTTCGCTTTTGAGCTTGTGACGACATTACTAGGTACGTATATCTACGTAATACACAATGAATAAACAGTAAACTATGAACACACGCTAGGGGCACGCACCACTCTTCATCGGCTGTAGTCAAATTCAAACTAAGCAATCGGAATCAAAACAATACCCTACGCGTCGAGCACAATAATGATGGTCCGTACAAGTTGTAACTTGTTCAATCATGCATTAGCGGAATATGTATGTATGTCGGATTACAGGGGGTGCCGGATTAGACAGGGGCCGGATTACCGGGGGTCCACTGTAGTAAAAATATGTTGGAAGGAAATTATTCCCTCCAGGTAGAAATTCTGTATGTGCCACTGGTTGACCGTGACAACGGAGATTTCACATGAAACAATGAGTGTACATATTTACATACATATATTGCATGTAGACATATTTACAATTATAATGGGTTTTTTTCATATTTGTTTACATGCACACATAATTATCCATATACAATATATATGTATAAGAATATTTGCGACAGCTTGGTCTTTTCTTATGGGGTTATGTCAAGCAAGAGGTGTATAAAATCAAACAGAGAAATCTGATTGAACTGAAGCAGTCCACTAAAAAGATAATTGAGGCAATCTCGACTTCAACCCTTCAGCCCGCAATAACTTTCTAATTAGGTGTCGCATATGCGTTGCTGAGCATGGAGGAATAATTAATTGTATAAAATAAAATACAATTTTCTATACAACAAAAAGAAAATAAATGTAATGCATTGATTAAAAAGAAACTTATTACGGCTTAGTTTTGTAGCACGATTCGTGAGCCACCCTGCATATGCAGAATATCTTAAAACTATATGCAAAGTCGTTTGCGCATTGTAAATATACGAATCTGAAGCGTACATTTCTTAAAATTGAAACTAGCACTATTTTTTTTCATTCAACACTCAAAATGCTCAATTCTGTTACTTTACGCTCCGCAGGGGTAAAATTCTGGTGAAATCTCTTATAATTTTTTAGACACTGAATCTGTCAAAAATTTCCGCCATTGAATCTGCCATTTGAAGAGCATCGGGTAAGTTGCCAATTTTGCTAATTGTTAATTTTCATTTATTTTTATTAAATAAAAATCTTTTCAAAATATAATACTTTTACCAAGAGTTTATATGTACGTACATATTATATAAAAAAGTGTGTAGTGAGGAACCAATTGAGTAATATTATGCTAAAATTTTTCGAAATCGACTTTCCGCTTACGGATGTGTTATCTTCGCGTCAAATAAAACGATTTAAAAAAAATAATTTTGGAGGCCTCTTTCGTTAGGGAACCTAAACTATACATTTCCTGAAACTTATTTGTTAAATTTTTCTTTTTATTTGATAAAAGCGGCAATGGAGATCGTGTGTGAGATATTTCCCATTGGCGATTCTTTAAGGTTGAAAAGACTTACAATGTCTTGCCTCCTCTAGGTTGTATTGCTTTGCAGATATGTCATAGTTTTGGGCAAAGATCATATTTCGAAACAAGCCAGTTTCAATGTTTCGTGGGCTATTCTGCGAAAGATATTCCACATCAAGTAGTGCAGGGCGGGACGCCGAGAATGCTAAGACTGTGCTGTGTCGTTTGGATCACACCACCTTTCGGAAGGTAACGGATAACACTGCTATTTATACGCAGAGATCTGTCATCTCGGAGGATCATATCTACTATAAGATGCCTGACTTCAATCCAACACACATTTCGCCATGGTTGCTGCGTATCGAATTGAAAGATTCTAAGTGTTGGGCATAGAAGCTCTGCGTTAATCGGTTGAAAAGTAAACTAATGATGTGCTGAAGGTCTTTGGCCTTGTATGAGGTAATGCCAGCTACTGAATATAAGTAAGTAAATTATATAAATATTCTAGATGTCATATATAATTTACGCTATATATCGGCATTATAATAATATAAAAGTATAAATAATTTAACCATAGTTTGCCAATATTGTATATTTCTATGTTGAATATGTATATATAATTTATTTATTGGAATTTTTATTAAAAATTGCTTTTTCTGGTTCATTTTAGCTTAAAACAAAAGTGTAAGATTTCTTCATGTTAACATATTAATATATATCTTTTTTTTGGTTAGAAAATGTCATTAGCTCAGAATTTAACATTTAGTTTGGTTACTACAACAATTTTAGGCTAATCAAACAAAATGTTACGGAGAGTAAACAAATTATTCTATGTGAAAATTTCAGTACAATTTTTGACGTTTATTAACGTGTAGCCAAGGTAACCACCGTAGATCACATACCTATGTTAAGTACTATGAAATATTGTTGACCTTAACTTTTTATATGAGTTGTGTAGAAACTAGCATGCATTTATTTTTCGAATATAATGTAGATACTTTACTTTCACAAATAAAAAAGAAAGAAATTTTTAATTCTTTTTTAACTCATTTTAGAAATTTACAAATTCCGATGGAAAGTTCTCAAGCTTCACTTCAATTTCACCATTTAAGTTTTTAAATTATAAAATTTAAGTTACTTACTAGTATTAAGTGCTAAATTAATTAATTTAAAATATTATTGTTTGATTAGGGTTTGATTATACAATAGATAATAACTTAAAGCTAAATTAAAATAATTACTACAAGTTTGTAAAAATAGAAAGGTATTTAAACTATGCCACAATGATAGCACTCACCAACGACCTTTTATTATCTTCTTGGTTTTATTAATGAACACGTCTTTTAAATTTTAAATTTAAATTAAATTTTTTTTATTTTTTAAGTTCACAACTTTTTCTTAATAACAATTATTAATACGATTTTAAAATCAACCGGTAGCGGAGATGGCGATTTCACGATGATGTAGCGCAAAAAGGGCCTTGTGGTCGCTCGTCATTTCCCTTTTAACTCCTTTGGTGTGGTGTGTAGTGTGTCTTCATGTGTGGGGTGATCGTGGTGGTAGGGTTGGCGTGGAATGTGTATGGGATAATATGTTGAGTTACTCACCCATCCCGGCCCACCTAGGCAAATATTTAGCCTAGCAAATTCTGCAGTTGTTGCAACGTTGCTACAGCACTGCTGAGGCCAGTGGGGCGGCGGGATGATGGTCTGGGCCGTCGGCGCCGAGCAGCTGTTTCGTTCCTTACATTCCTTGGACGGTACTGTGGAGCGGCAGCTGGGCGTTGCTGTTGTATCGGGTGGCTGGGCGGCAGCCGCCTGACAGCACCGCGACTGCATGATGCGGGTGGTCGGCAAACGTCGCGTAGCCGGTGTGAGCGGCGACACAGCGGACATCGGGCGGTGCGACCCCGATGGCACCAATGGCGACGCTGGCGGTGGTTGTGCTGTGTTCCGCGCGACAGCTGTGACAGTTGTTGCAGCGGTGGATCGGGGCGTTGGAATCGGCCCAGTGCGTGACACGTTGATAGCCGATCGAACGATTGGCGTTGGGGTTGTTGGCATTTCCACGTCCATATTCATCTATATGAAAAGTTTAGATTTAGTATATGTTTGTGGCATATAATGGAATATGGGCAATTGTGCCACGTGATGTGGCACGCGTAGTCGGGATATGGATCGACCATTTCTGTTTGGTTTGGGATTGTTGTTAACGTTTTTTATTTTTATTTATCGATTTATTTGAATTGGATATCATTTTAGCTTCGGTAGTACGGTCGGTGCGCAGGAAGCATAGTTTTACGAGCGGTCTGGTTAGCGTTCCCGATTGCGTGCGGAGATCTACTATCCGGATATGACCGTCGGACCCGGAATGAAGCTTTTCGATGCGGACAAGCCGCCATTCTGTGGGAGGGAGACAATCATCATGGATTAGGACGCAATCTCCAAGCTTTGGCGCCTTTTCTGGAGTTTTCCATCGGTACCTCTTGTGGAGGTCCTTTAAATATTTTTCTTTCCATCGCGGGCTAAAGTCATGATGGAGAATTTTGATTCTCGCCCATCGATTTAATAAGGATAGCGACTCCACGCCTGGCTCACGTATGGCCAGAATGGGTGTTCCTTTGAGAAAATGCCCTGGAGTTAGGGCTGTCAAATCCGAGGGATCTTGCGAGAGTGTCGTTAGTGGCCGTGAATTGAGAACGGCTTCAATACGATTTAGTAATGTTGTAAATTCTTCATAATTAAATTTGTAGTTTCCAGCTACTTTTTTAAAGTAGGACTTGAAGCTTTTTACAGCTGATTCCCATAAACCACCCATATGAGGAGCGCTTGGGGGGATAAATTGCCAATTAATGCCTTCTGCGCGTACTTTTGTACAATCTCAGGTGAAACTTGTTTGATAAAGTCCACAAACTGTTTTTCGGTGGCTCTTTGAGTGCCGATAAAGGTTTTACCATTGTCGCTCATTATCTTCGATGGAAAGCCGCGTCGTCCGACGAAGACG